GTTTGTTTTGTTTGAGGACAGAGAGTCCGCGCTCTGTCGCCCAGGGCTGAGGAGTGGCGCGATCTTCTGCTCACAAAAAAAAAAAAAAGTCAGGGGTCTTGCTGGAAGACTGTGGGCAGGGGAGCCCCCATCTGAGCCTCAGTTTCCCCAGGCGTACAGTGGAGCGCTTGGCCTCCCGACCCCGAGTTCCTGTGGCAGGCACTAGGGGCCAGATTGGGAGCTCTGGCTCCAGCGTCCACTTGTCCTTCTCCTGGAGCGCCAGGGCTGGCGGCAGGTGCAGGGGAACCCTTCTCCCCTTGACTGGTATCTTACCCTTTGCAGATGAGTTTCAGTGGAGTCCCGGCCCAACTGGTGCTGAGTGGCGAGGGTGAGGGTTTGCAGCTCACCCTCTGGGAGCAGGGTCCCCCCGGCACCTCCTACTCCCTGGACATCCTGCGGAGCCACGGCTGCGCCCCCGCCACCCAGCAGCGCCTTCACCACGCCGTCCGCATGCTGCAGAGTATCTAATGCCCCTGAGGGTCAGAGTGGACCCCTGCATGATAGTGCTAGGAACCCAGGCTCCATTTCCATTCCTGTGGCTCCCCACAGAGGGGCTGTCCTGAAGGAGAGTTTGGGGGCACATGGGAGGTGGTTCTTGCCTTGTGGCATGACTGGTCAAGCCAGACTTTGCTGGGATCTCTTCCTTTTTCATTAAAGACGATTTGAAATGCTGTAGGCCATGGTCTGCCTCTCTTTGGGGGAAAGCGTTTGGAGGACCTTTGGCAAAGGAACGTTGATCCCACGTGACGTTGCCTCCTCCCTGTTGCCCTTAGTGGCAGAGGTGGGCTACGTTTTCACCACTGCAGACATTAGCACCAGAGGACCAGTCTAGTGGCTCATGCCTGGAATCCCAGCACTTTGGGAGGCCAAGGCAGGAGGATCGCTTGGGCCCGGGAGTTTGAGACCAGCCTGGGCAACATGGCAAGACCCCATCTCTACAAAAAATTAGCTGGGCATGGGCCAGGGGCGGTGGCTCAAGCCTGTAATCCCAGCACTTTTGGGAGGCTGAGGCGGGTGGATCATGAGGTCAGGAGATCGAGACCATTCTGGCTAACCTGGTGAAACCCTGTCTCTACTAAAAATACAAAAAATCAGCCGGGCGTGGTGGCGGGCACCTGTAGTCCCAGCTACTCGGAAGACTGAGGCAGAAGAATGGTGTGAACCCAGGAGGCAGAGTTTGCAGTGAGCCGAGATCGCACCACTGCACTCCATCCTGGGAGACAGAGCGAGACTCCGTCTCAAAAAAAAAAGAAAAAAAAGCCGGGCATGGTGGTGCATACCTGTAGTCCCAGCTACTTGGGAGGCTGAGATGGGAGGATCACTTGAGCCTGGGAGGCTGAGGCTGAAGTGAGCTGTGATTGCACCACTGCACTCCAGCCTGGGCGACAGAACAAAGACCCCATCTCAACAACAACAAAATTAGTACCAGAAGTGGGGTTCTGCCGTAACTCCAAATCTAAAGCACAAGACACTTGCTTAATGGGTGGACAGGAAAGAAGCCGACGCTGAGGCTGGAACGACGGCTGGCCATGCTCCAGGACACAGTTACCACAACTGTCACCTGTGCTGCCCTTGGGGGGACGGTGCACTCATGGACCCGACCTCTCTGGGCTGATGGAGCATTGTTAGGTCAAAATGTCATATGAGGCTGGTCATGGTGGCTCACACCTGTGATCCCAGCACTTTGGGAGGCCAAGGCAGGCGGATCACTTGAGCTCAGGAGTTTGAGACCATCCTTGCCAACATGGTGAAACCCTGTCTCTACTAAAAATACAAAAAATTAGCTGGGTGTGGTGGTTGCACGCCTGTAGTCCCAGTTACTCAGGAGGCTGAGGCAGGAGAATCACTTGAATCTGGGAGGCAGAGGTTGCAGTGAGCTGAGATCACACCATTGTACTCCAGCATGGGCAACAGAGCAAAACTCCGTCTCAAAGAAAAAAAAATTGGACACAACCTAAGTGTCCAGCGATGAGAGACTCAAACATCTGGCCACCCCCGGGGATGAGTGACGCTGGGGAAGTGGGAAGGCTCACGGGGGGCATTAAGGCAGGCCGAGGGGTTTGGAACTGATGACCGAAAAATCCTTGCTGATTGCAGAAGGACTCCAGGCACCTCAGTAGCTCTTTCGTTTTTTGAGATGGAGTCTTGCTCTGTCGCCCAGGCTGGAGTGCAGTGGTACGATCTTGGCTCACTGTAAGCTCCGCCTCCCGGGTTCAATAGATTCCTCTGCCCCAGCCTCCTGAGTAGCTGGGATTACAGGCGTGTGCCACCATGCCCAGCTAATTTTTGTGTTTTTAATAGAGACACGGTTTCACCATGTTGGTCAGGCTGGTCTTGAACTCATGACCTCAGGTGATCCTCCCACCTTGGTCTCCCAAAGTGCTGGGATTACGGGCATGAGCCACCGTGCCTGGCCCCCTCATTATCACTTGAAGCCACAATTCTCCGTACGAGGCTCCTGGGCTGTGCTTGGGGTGTCCGCTGAGGTGGCCAGAGGTGTAGCCTATGCTGGAGAAAACTCCCCCTTGACCGATGTGGGATCGGGAGACCGGGGCTGCAGTCCCAGCTGGCCACTTCCAGGCACATCCAGGCCTCAGTTTCCCTGCCTGTTTAAGGGGGGCATGTATTCTCTGGCATCCCTGCCAGCAGCATGATTCTACATGAAGTTCCACTTCCAAGTTCCCATTATCAACCCCAGAAACTCATCATAAAAGAGGGAGAATTGAGGCTGGGTGCAGTGGCTCACGCCTGTAATCCCAGCAGGCTGGGAGGTTGGGGCGGGCGGATCACTTGAGGACAGGAGTCTGAGACCTGCCTGGGCAACATAGGGAGACTCTGTCTCTACTAAAAATTTAAAAGCCAGACCTGGTGGCACATGTCCGTGGTCCCAGCTACTCAGGAGGCCCAGGTGGGAGGATTGCTTCAGCCCAGGGGTTCCAAGGTACAGTGAGCTATGATTGCACCACGGCACTCCACCACTACTCTGGGTGATAAAGCAAGACCCTTTCTCAAAAAAAAAAAAAAAAAAAAAAAGGCTGGGCGCGGTGGCTCACGCCTGTAATGCCAGCACTTTGGGAAGTCAAGGTAGACAGATCACCTGAGGTCAGGAGTTCGAGACCAGCCTAGCCAACATGGCAAAACTCCGTCTCTACTAAAAATACAAAAATTAGCGGCCAGGTGCGGAGGCTCACACCTGTAATCCCAGCACCATGCTGGTCAGGCTGGTCTCAAACTCCTGACCTCAAGGAATAATCCGGCCTCGGCCTCCCAAAGAGCTGGGATGACAGGCGTGAGCCACCGCACCTGGCCACCTTAGCCTTTAGAATAGTAGTTATTCTCTGCCAGACGCGGTGGCTCACGCCTGTCATCCCAGCACCTTGGGAGGCCGAGGCGGGCGGATCACCTGAGGTTGGGAGTTCGAGACCATCCTAGCCAACATGGTGAAACTCCGGCTCTACTAAAAATATAAAATTTAGCCAGATGTGGTGGCACATGCCTGTAGTCCCAGATACTCGGGGCGCTGAGGCAGAAGAATCACTTGAACCAGGGAGTCAGAGGTTACAGTGAGCCGAGATCACACCACTGCACTCCAGTCTGGTGACAGAGAGAGACTCCATCTCAAAAAAAAAGAAAAAAAAAATAGTAGTTGTTCTTATTGGTGGGGGGTGGGGAGTGGAGGGGCGATTCTGTCCCCGGGGGACACTAGGCTATGTCTGGGGACATCTGTGGTCATCAACACTGGGGGTGCTCCTGGCATGGAGTGGGTGAAGGCCAGGGACGCTGCTTTGTACCCTGCAATGCCCAGGACAGCCCCATCCCAGAGAATGGCTTGGCCCCAACATCCATAGTGCCCAAGAGGAGAGACCCTAGTTTGGAGATAGGAACTGAAATATTTACAGGCCTAGTGTTTAATTCCTAAAGCGGATTTCCTCTGTAATCACAAAAAAAAAAAAAAAAGCAATGAAGTGGAGAAACGGCGCTCCCGGGAGATACCACACGTTCCCAAGCCCACGCTGCACCTCACACGCAGCAGTGAGCCATGTCCCCGTAGTGGCCCCTGGCTGAGGTCGTGATGCATGGGGCGAGAGAATGGTTGAGATGGGGACGGCGTCCTGCCAAGCACCGCGTGTCTTGGGGCCGCCCATCTGCAGGCAGGGCGCTCTGCCACTCAAACGGGGGCGTGATGAGTCCGAGGCCACCCAGCAGGTCTGAATCTCCCCAGGGCCCTCCTCACAGCCCCTTCCCTTTGGAACCATATTCTATCAATTCCGAAAGTAAAATGCAGATTTTTTTTTTCTTCTCTTTTTTTGTTTTTGAGACAGGGTCTCACTCTGTAACCCAGGCTGGAGTGCAGTGGTGCCATCTCGACTCTCTGCCCACTCCGCCTCCTGGGTTCAAGCAATTCTCCTGCCTCAGCCTCCCAAGTAGCTGGGATTACAGGCATGTGCCACCACGCCCAGCTAATTTTTGTAATTTTAGTAGAGATGGGGTTTCACCATGTTGGCCAGGCTGGTCTCGAACTCCTGACCT